ACATGAAAAAGTTGTATCGAGCCATTCTTAGTATTCACGGGGCTTCTTCAAACACGTAAAGTTAGCTTAATATCATCAGAATAATCGTTAGCATCGACATGTGGAGTCTCCATAATATAAAGCCCTGGCTCAAAGTCTGGCCCGGGGGACACTTTTGGCCCATGATATATGTATTATTATTGATTTTTATTATTATGATTCACATTTGTGAATACTCAGCAAAAAGGACTTTATTATGAGACAATTAAACACTTTAAGTTCCCGCGGGCCACACAAAATGACTTGAGTTTGACACAAGCTTTAAAGGATCATCTGGGAACGAGACTTCCTCTAAGGCAGCGCACTGACTCAGTCTGACAACCGCAATCATTTAGAAGTGAAAATGTCCCTTTGATCACCGAAACAATTGTCTTATCACGGGAATTTAAACTCCGAGGAGAAAAAAAAAAAATCAATATTCATTTTATACAGTCAGTAAAAAAAAAATTGCCTCGCTACTCACTGTTTTTACAAACATAATTGCTCCTGTCAAATCCGAGGCTAAAGGCCGCGTTTATTAGAAAAAGCAATATTTACCTGCATATAAATGATTGTTTTTCATAACAGTCATCCATTTTAAAAGGTTAGGTTTTTAGATTTAAGACACATTTGTCTCCACGATATTATTTATACGCCGCTCCGGGGCAAAGTCGTGTCTAGAAAGTCGATATAGCAGCGCACGAAAGGTTACAATTAGGTGGAAATTAATCAGAGCCACAGGATTGTTCCTCCTCGTAAATAGTCATGGGACGAAACCGGGTTGCGCCTGAACACCACCAGGAGTGCATGCACCTGAGTGCGGTACAATCGAAGGATCAATCAGAAGGCTTTTATGGAAATAGTCAGAAAAGAGATGGATTCTAAAACCTAGCTGTGATGAATGCGCTGGTGGAGGGAGAGTGCACAGAAATCAATAGCAGATGATTCATTTCTGGCAGCGTAATGGTAGCAAGCTGAGTCCCCCAGGAAGTCGGAAAGCTTTTTCAGAGCCGTTTTCATGTGTGTTTTCTTTTTCAGCCTCCTTCTTTTTTTCTGTCTTTGAAGTATGTGCTCGTGTGTTTTCTGACTTTTGTGTCGGTGGACGGGAGCGTTTGAACTGCATGGATACCAACCCCCACCCCCGGCACTGCTGTATATCTGGATATGTTGTATATTTTCTACTCAATTTTCCCTTCACAAAATAATAAGTCCACAACTCTTGGAGCATTTTTTTGTCAGATAATAGTAAACATGTACTGCACACACTACTCCACTTAGTAGTACTTATTATTTAATAAAACTAGCTGAGGTTTTTTATGTAAAAAATAAAACAAACCAAAAAAAAAAAAAAAAATGGCAACAGGCAAATTCTTATCTAACAATAAAAACTTTTTAAAAACAAAAATATAAAGAATAAAAAAAAACAAAACAAAAAAAAATGGCAACAGGCACATTCTTATCTAACAATAAAAACTTTTTAAAAACAAAAATATAAAGAATAAAAAAAAACAAAACAAAAAAAAATGGCAACAGGCACATTCTTATCTAACAATAAAAACTTTTTAAAAACAAAAATATTAAAAAAAACAAATTTCCCATGGGGTAATTTTGACCTAAAATCCATCCAATTTAATCTAACTGTTGTTTATTTTCTAGCTGAGATAATAGAATAGTCGTTCAAGATGTGGGTTTTACAAAAAAAAAACATTATTTTTGCTCTAAAATGTCCAAAATGGAAACAAGAACCAATGCGAAAAAAAAAAGAAAAAAAGTAAAAAAAAAAACACAAACTGCTGCTGCTAATGGTGACTTTGTAAACAGTACGAGTTGAAAGGCTAAGAACAGAGGAGAGTGGCAAAATACATAAATCGTTTAATGGAAAGATTAATGAACAGCCATTTATTAGTGTTGATAAGGAAAGGTTTCGCTTTGTAGCCGACGAAGAAAAGAAATATTTTATTAAATTAAGACTGACATGAAAGAAAGCGAATTGATTACCGCAATTACAACGTGCCTGCGTTGGGGCTTGCGTTTTCATTATTATTTTACACCCTTTAATACAGTTGCGCGTTAATTAGAAACAGATGAGCAAAACGGATGTTATTTTACAATTACTTTTCTTTTATTGATGTTTAATATCTGTTTTTTGACAGCTGTATTGCAGCAGGTCCTCGGTTTA